ATGCCGCCGAAGTCTGCCTGAGTGCCGTGCTTGGGGCGGCAAACTACTGGAGCCTCTGGCTGGGGAATATCTGGCTAATTCCCCCAACGCACAGCATGTTTTAGTGACAGCCATACTACACAATTCTCATAACTTCATATGCATTAATGATATACATATATGGATAGAGAAATGACTTTCAGCAGCTCATAACCTTTCCCCTGATACCTTACAAGGCATACTTTATATATAAGATCACAATTATATGAAAATGAGTAATATGGGGGTTACAGTACGCTCCCCCAAGGTATAGAATGTCACGGGGGGGAGGGAGGGGAGTGTTCTCACCAGGCCATGAAGCTTGAATCGATTGGGGGTCCCAGGTGTTGGTGGTAGCTGAGAGTCCGGAGTGCTGGAGATGGGCAAAGCCCCCAGCACAATCAGTCAGGAGAAGATGAAGTCCCAGTGGAACTGATGCAGAGTTTGGATCCAGGCATCAGAACACTTACTTGAGCATAGGTAGGGATTTTTGTAGGGAAAGAAGAATGGTACAAGGGGGGACACTAGATTTGTTTATGGGTAAACTGATGACTCCAATGGTATACCAAAGTGGTTTTGTTCTGGCTGGATAATAGGAATGATCATTCCTGGCTATGGGTGCTGTTCCTTCAAGGGAGTTCCCAATGCAATTAGGCAGTTTCAGTATTTTGGATACCAATAGAGGATTTATTACTAGAACTGGTCTGATAATTACTGAACTGGATGTGTGCAGGCGTGGGTTCATTAACATCTGGAGCAGAGATTTCCCATCATGCAGTGCTTCCCTGTTTTGCTGGTCCCAGAGTTCAGTGTGGTGCTTGCCTTGGAATTTCTGTTCTCCATTCCGTATGCTAATGGAGATGTTCCATCTTTGATGCAAATGAGGCTAACAGAGTTTCCTTAATCCTGTCACCCTTTTCCGGAGGGGCTTAGGTGTGTCTCTCACTGCCATTTCATTGCTTTTCATACGTCTTCTGAGCAGTTTTGGTTCTAGCAAAGGCAGGTGTGTGTGGGGGTGTCCTTCATGAGTCAGACAGGCTGGATACTGCACTCCGGTTCCCCAAGCGTGCAGAGCTGATAGCTAACACCAATTCTGTCCACCCCAAACCCTGCTGTCTGACGGGGGCCACAGTTGTTTCACCAGATAGTGGTATCCCTGCCAGACTCTTATCTGCATGGTCCATATTGCAGTCACGCCCCCTGTGCCTGCAGCAGTTTGTACATTTCCAGTGAGGAGAACAGGCCATAACCGATTGCGGCTGAAGATTCCTCTGTTTTTGAGAGGGTCAGTGACTGTGTCAAGGGGCCTTTTCCCTGTAGGAGGTGCTGGCTCCAATCCAGCCCCAGGGCTGCGGGATTGGTGACTCAGGGAGTGGGGAATGGGACACGGGGCCTTTGCCCTCTAGATGAACTGAGGGGGGAGGAAGAGGGGGAGATGGAAGATAAGGAACTAAACCAAAGCAGCTCAACCTGGTGCTAACACTTGCAGCCCTGTATGAAGACAATTACTATCATCCAATCTTATGCTTCTGGACATCCCCTGCAGGGGTCAGGTAGGAAGAGTTACCCTGATGCCCCATTGGCTCCCTGTATTCTGGAATGTTTTCTCACCTTCCTCTGAAGCATCAGGGATTATCCAAAGATGGAGACAGGGTGAGACAGGGCTCTCAGATGCCTGGCTGGTGGGTCGGACTGACATCTCTGGGTCCAAGTGCTCAGGAGAATCGACAGGAGGAAGGAATTTTCCACCACCCCAGGCACAGGGTGGGCTGATGCTGAGACCGGCCAGGCCCCAGAAGCAGAGGTTGGGGGGAGGATTTGTGGGAGGGTCACAGCAAGAGGGGCTTGGCCCTGGGTCTGTGGGGGAAGAGGGGCCTGGCCCCAAGTGGGGCTCTGTGGAATTTGGCTCTGCACCAGACACCATGGGTAACCAGCCGCCCAGTGGAGCCTCTGATCCCCCCACCCCAGAAGGGGTGGGGGCCTTGGAGAGGCCCCACTTGCAGAGCCCCCCAGGATGGTGTGATGGGGCAGCCTGGAAGGGGGCGAGGATGGCACCTGGATCACACTGGCACTGGGAGTGGAGATGTGGCCATGCGCCCCTCTTCAAGGCCTGAGCTCTTGGTGTCCTGTGCCCCTCTCCAAGGCGCTGGCTAGAGATCCCTGTGGACCGCCCCACAACAGGAAGTCATAGCTAAAAGGGAGGGGAAGCAGTCAGCCGGCTCCTCCCAGCTGCACATCCATTAAAGGGCTGGGGAGGGTTCCGGGGGGGTGGGGGAGCAGAATGCCTGGGTTCTATTCCGAGCTCGGAAAGGGCAGTGGGGTCCAGGGGTTTGAGTGTGTGTGTGTGTGTGTGTTTCTGTGTTTTGGGGTGGGCTGGGGATCAGTACTCCTGGGTTCTATCCCCTGCTCAGAGAGGGGGGAGGTCTAGTGATTGTAGTGGGAGGGTTGGGGGCCAGGATGCCTGGGTTCTCTCGCTGGCTCTGGGAGGGGAGTGGGGTCTAGTGGTGTCAAGGCTGCTTCCCCACTCTGAACTTTAGGGTACAAATGTGGGGGCCTGCATGAAAACTTCTAAGCTTAACTACTAGCTTAGATCTGGTCCACTGCCACCATTCCCAAGTGGATTCCCTTCCCTGGGAAGCCTTGAGAAACTCTTCACCAATTCCCTGGTGAATACAGATCCAAACCCCTTGGATCTTAAAACAAGGAGAAATTAACCATCCCCCTCCTTTCTTCCACCAACTCCTGGTGGATCAAGATCCAAACCCCTTGGATCTTAAAACAAGGAAAAAATCAATCAGGTTGTTAAAAAGAAGGCTTTTAATTAAAGAAAAAAGGTAAAAATCATCTCTGTAAAATCAGGATGGAAAATAACTTTACAGGGTAATCAAACTTAAAGAGCCCAGAGGACCCCTCTCTAGTCTTAGGTTCAAAGTACAGCAAACAAAGATAAACACTCTAGTAAAAGGTACATTTACAAGTTGAGAAAACAAAGTAAAACTAACACGCCTTGCCTGGCTGTTTACTTACAAGTTTGAAATATGAGAGACTTGTTCAGAAAGATGTGGAGAACCTGGATTGATGTCTGGTCCCTCTCAGTCCCAAGAGCGAATGAACTCTCAAACAAAGAGCACAAACA